GCCCTGTCGTAAAAATGAAGAAGCCTTGCCTTGAAGTTTTAACTGCTAATTTGTTCCAAGAAGTTTTCAGCACATCGCCATACTATACCAATTAATCCGCAATGAGCTCTTGCCTGTCCCGTGACAGACATCACGAGAGCTAGAACTCATGAATTAAGATATTTCAAAAAATCTACCATAAGGAAGAGGGTAGGCTGCAGTCCTGTTTACGCCTAACTTTTATATTTTTATAATACCTATCATGAATCGGTTAGCTTCTTCATGCTTATCCCAGATGCTTGGAGTTGAGTTAAGCTGAGGCAGGATTGTGATGGGGATGTGACCACAGCTATTTCTTTGTTCAAATAAAATAGAGTTTAATTCTGTAATGCTAACGCATGTTTAGGTTGCATGTGCATTGTATTTGTCCAATGCTCGATTTTGACATTAAAGCCTAAACGAGAACCAAATTTAATTGAGCATCCTCTTACTATTTAGTTCGTCCTACTCTCTCTTCCACAACCTAATTCTATCTACTAACCATTAGTCATTTTGGTCTAACTTCCTAAATTCTTTCCTCCTGCTCAGCATGTAAGAGAACAGATGTGTCCGCATGCACATCCTCTTCATTCATTCATCTGCAAGCATCTAGGAAAAGCATGAAGTAACCAGCCAATCTCATTAGATTTATTAACGCTAGGTGTAAATAAGTGGGATTGTAACTAGCAATACTCCTTCAGTTTACCTGCCTTTCAAAATTCTTGAAAGTACAACCTTATGAATCTACTAGGAGACTCTTTGAAGGCCAGTTTATCTTCATTTCTATGAAGAGGAGCTGAGTTTCTAGGACTCCCTTAATAGATTGACGCTAGTATACCCTCTATTTCGTTTGAAAGACGGGTAGGAGAGCTTTGAAATTGGTCTCACCGGATACCGGAGAAGGATTGCCTTGGAACTGTGACTGTTGGACAGTGCGAATAAGTCCTTGGCTCATCTTCCTATGCCCCAGAAGAATCCGTAATGAGCTTTCGTCCGTCATGTGACAAACATCGTCAAAACCTGAAACCATTATTTACGAACAATCATCAAAAAATACTGGACCAAGAAAGGTAGCCGGATGAAATTCTACTTATACCTAAGTGAGATCTTAGCATGGCACATTATGATTCCGTTGGTTACTTTTTTCTTGCCCTGCACACATGTAGGGCACGAAAGGGGGGCGGATTTGGTCGCACATTTACTTATGATGAGACTTTTAATTAGTATAAAAGTCTCCATAACATTGGGGAAAGTAAATTAGTTAGACAAGTGTTTATTTTTATAAGGAATAATAAGCTAATCAGGTACATTAAAAGTTTTACTAAATATAGTTGATAGCTATCCCTTAGTTGTCATTTCATTATTTTTCTTCGCATTTAACCAAATGATTAATTAGGCGATTCTCTCAGTTGAGTTCACAACTTTTTTTATCCTGCCCAGGTAGTTGCTATCTACCCCTTTCCCCCGCCTTCTATATGCGTGCTCGTTTACCTCTGGGATGGGGTTCCCATGAAACAACCAGAGGTGTCTGCTACTGAGACTGCCCTCACAGGCCATACGCGACGCCATCTTGTACCACTCCAGTTCATCGGCCCTCTGTCTAGCAGCCTGGCGTCGCAGACTTCACTTTCCGGCACTCAGTTCAGTGCCGAGCTGGTCGCCGTCACGGCTCATTTCCCTTGGTCAGCGCTCACTGATTCACCCTGCCCTGGTTGCTTTCGTCCGAATGAGACTGCGTATAGCCGCCTTGGCAGCGCCTCCGACGTTGGCATGGCACCTGGTGGCCGGCGCCCTCTGGACTGGAGCATACCGGTTTTCCTATTTGATGAGCATGCCAGCTGGGCCCTCGACCATGTTGCACCCGGGGACATTCTCCGTCTGATCAACGTACGCTGTTGCCAACGCAGTCGCTCTCAAGTGAGACTGTTTTTTCCATTGAATAATTGAATAAAACTTTACTTATTTTTCTATTTTAAGATTTGTTTCGAATCATTTTCAATCTAATTTGTGAAATATATGCTATAATCCCTATTATTATTTAATAGGAATTTGGCCGCCTTAGGTCTTCCAAGGTGATTTAAGGACTAATAGTTGAGTTTTCCCATAGTTAGATGAGTTGGCCTGACTACCATTGAATTTCACCTAGCCTTGCATCCCATCATGGGTGGACTTCAGCTTTGGTCTCACCTAGGCCTTTTCAGTATCCTTGTTTGTGGGTATCAGCAGTTGGTGCCAATTTGTCACCAACTTCCATCTTTTCTTATCTTAAGCGATTTATACCATTTTATTTTTTTAAGCTTTTTTAATTCAATTTGTGCACTACTTAGGTGAGGTGCAATCGAAGGCTTCCTCTCACCCTATTGGTTAATGTGTATAACTGTTGTTACTAAAAAGGGAAGTTAGATTGGTAAGGAGCGGTCTTATCAACCATCTCGTTTAAACTATTCATTAAATGCATGCAAGAGGCACTCGTTCATCTTTCCTCCTAATGCAAACTTTGGCCATTAAATTGCTTAAGCCTTTACTATGAGTACCAGAAATAAGCTCTTGATGCGTCCTTTACTTTTCTTAGGACCGAACCTTTCAACCATCCCATGCATGTGCCTTTATTCTACTCTTTAATCAGTTGGTTTTAAAAATTTGGCTTATTTACAGCTGTTCACTATCGTAAAATCCGCCACAAGGTTGCCTGACCCCATTAGTTCTCGAAAAATGAGGGGAAAGTATAAAATGACCGATAAGTCCTTTTTAACTATATTATTGCTCATTTCATTTATTTAGTCATACTGCTCACATGCATCACTCAGCCAACCATTCGGCTGTCCCTTACCACTTCGTGTGCAGTTGGTGCTGCATGGCAACGGTCAAGCTTACGGAAGACGTGGAGTCATTGTCTGTACTGGTGCTCAATTAAATAGTCATCTTGCAGCGGGGTGTTCTTCTAACCCACTAAATTTCAAGACCTTAGTTTCACACAGAAGCAACAATGTTACATCGGATACATTAAAGAGAGATTCTACTAAAAAGGTAAATTAATTAATGGATCACATATTGAACATACTTTTTTTCTATTTTATTGACTTTACTTTTTTTGAAATATTTCGTTTTTGTTTTAAGCACTCATTGTATATGTATCACTTAGATATCTGCAGAGTCTATGCCCATTGCTGGGACATGTTCAACCACTGTTGTCAAGAGTGGAGCAGCTGGTTCCGCACCTACCACTAGAATTTCTTCCAGCCGGCTAGGTGTAGCTCCAGCTATTCAATCATCTGTGCATGCAAGACACGCATCTCTAGGCGTCTGTGAGGGTTGCATTCTTTTGCGATCTGTCAACGCCTACGGTTTGCTCGACCGTCTTTTGGAGGGCACAAGAGAGAGACGTCGTATCGCCAGGCCACTTAGCATCCGTTCTGGCGATGTTTTCAGACAACCAATTATGCCCGTAAGTCGTTAAATGAGAGCCTAAGAGCCTGGTTTTACCTCTTTTGTTAGATAACAGGTTTTTCATGTAATATTTTGCCAATTTTTCAATCTCTACGGCTTGAAAAATTTACATTACGAAGTTTATTCAAAGGTCTTTTAAAATTGAATATATTTTTCGATTTAGATTAACCCTGATCAAAATGGACATGATTAAATTAAAAATGCTCCTGGGATCTCAGGATTCAGCTTGAAACCGAAATCTTTAGCTTCGAAACCCATACTTGTTAAAGTGTGGCTAGCTAGTTATAAAATTTTGGCTAGGACAAAAAATTAAGATTTCAGACAGCCTCAGTTGAAATCGTGATCTAGATTTTTGTCGATACACATGTTTTACTGTAATGTGCTACGTATTAGATCGAAAAATAGAAAATATTATCCTTACGCTTGCTAAGATAATTTCTTCTGATGTGATCAGTCTCGCTTTATTCATTCAACTTGAGCAATTCCTTCTATTGGTGTGGCAACTGACGCCTCGCCATTTACTATCATATACAGTGTATGGGTCAAAAAAAGTCACTATTCCCTTTTTTAAATAAGTATATCGTTTTTACACAACGTAGGCTTTCTTTAACCCAATTCTGACAAAGTGAATGGTTATTAATTTTTCTTTAATCATTAATTTGATTATT